CCCCCCCCCCCCCCCCCCCCCGCTTTCTCGAACTGCACGAGGCCCCATCGACGCACCAGTCATGAGCCCGTTTCATCGTACGGTAGGTCACCGAGCACGAAAACTACCCGGAGATGAACATATTTTCGGTGCATTTCCACGTATGGAGCTACGTGGAGTGTTGGGCAAAAAAAGAGTGCGGTTGCCCTCAGAGCTCAACCGAAGCGTTTGAAAAAGAAAAAAACGTTCGGAGTGTCATCAGGATACGGGTCCACGTTCGGGCTTGTGGTACGGGGAAGTAGGTCAGGACCAACGAGTTGTGGCTGGGACCAAGTATTGTGGTGCCCCCGGCTCACCTGTACTTCGACGAAGCCGGAGTCGGCGTAGAAATTTGGCAACGGAACTTTGAACCCGAACAGGTCGGCCTCGATCCTGTCGAACTCAAACGAGATCTTGCCTCGATCATCCATCTGCAAAAACAGCATATCGATCTTGGGTTGGGTCGCTCAACATGTTGCCGAGGGCGCTACCAGATTGCGGCGGTGTCACGAGTGAGATAACCAGCACTCTGAGAAGAACAATCAACGCCGGTGTTCAAAACTCCAGGCAGAAAATATCAGTCGAAAGGGCGACAGCGGTTTGAAAAGTGGGACCGCACGCGCACGAAAAGGGAGAGAAGAGGGAAGAGTAGGAGAGACCGCGGCATCGCGCACGCACCCACACCCAGAGAGTACCACTCCTGACGGAGTCATGAAAATGGATCAAAATATCACCCTTGAATCCTCGAAGCGGGCCGGCCTGCTTCACGAGTCATGACAACTCGCTGTTCTCGCGTTCACGTATCTCTCTCTCACCTTGTAAGTAGTGACCGCTCGTATGCTCTTCACGGCCCAAGACTTGTAGAAGCGGAGGACGTTGTCGAGCCGCCCCCCTCCGCCCCCATCGTAGATGTAGTTGTAGACGTCGCTTGTGGGCGGCAGGAACTGTTCTCGATCCAGCGTGTGTCCAGTCAGCCCCAAACGAGTACGTTGTCGCGGCGAGGTTTCGGCGTGGTGAAAAGAAAACGACTTGTTCATGATGCGTGCAGCTTGCTCAAACGCCGGTCACGAGGAAACGCAGTACACATAATAGGATGTTGAGCAATACAGCTAACGCAGCATCCGAGGCATCGGCGTGTCAATGATAGACACTGCTGTGTTCGAAATGCACGCGCCGCTGTGGAGGACGAAGCTGAAGCATCCCGGGGCACGTGATGCCGTGTTTGAGGCACATGTGTCACTGAAATTATCGGGGCGAGCGCAGAGTTGGCTTGATTCGAACGAGGCTGACCTTATAGCGCTCCTCCGTCGAGAAGTCCAGCTTCCATTTCCCTTTCATCATGTCGCCTTGGCACAGCTAAGAAGGCGCACGCGATTGACACAGGGGGTGTGATTGGAGAGAGCCGTGACAAAACGAAAGGGTCGGCGCAACAATGTCGCGCTGGAGGAGACTCAGCAACACCAACACGAATCATGCCGCTGCAAGTTTCTAAAACTCGACGCCCGTTGCTGGAAGAGTCGCCGTCATGTACTAATGTTGCCATGGCGTCTCGCAGGGATGGCGGCTGCGTGACAGATCTACACATAAGTTTGGGCGGTGCTTCGGCTCACATGTGTTGCGTGCTCGTGTGGGGCGACGCTGCACATACCTTCGAGATGTCTTGGGGCATCTTCTTGACGGACAAAAGCGCTTGTGTCAACTGCAGAATCTCCACCTTGGTCGGGAGCATAGACGATATGCGCAGCATGGGGTGTTCGGTGCCAGCATTGCAGAGAGGTGATGCGATGACAAGGTGCGAACCAGCGGGAAATGTAGAGGCCGAGCGGGTGACGCCGGGGAGGGAAACGAACGAAATGGTGACCAAGAATACGGGGTTTCTCCGAAGGAAGAATTGCTGTGACATACATGCCGGCACTTGCAATTTTTTTCCACGTTATTAACTTTGACCAAAATAACAGAAAAGGGGGGAGGGTGCCGCAAAAGTACACGAGTAAGGAACTGTCCGGAGCAGCCCCATGCATAACCCCTCGTTTGTGTCTGAAATGTTGTCAAGGTTGTACAGCGGGTACGTCTGGGGTCTTTGTTCCTTTCTTGCACCCCCCCCCCCACTCTGAAGCTACACCAGCAAAAGTTTCGTTTGTCTGGGGTGGGGTATCAGCACTCATCGAGTCCGGGTTCGGGAGTCGTGGTGCCCTGCGGGATTGCACTCCGACGGCAAAACGCATATCCCCAGCAAAAATGAAGGCCGTATTCGGCAATGTTAGCGCTGATGTCATCGAGAGCGCACCGTGCAGGTGACCGTCGGTACTGTAGCACGAAATGGTTAAGCTGTCTTCGAAATGAACCGGCTGGGGTTCTCTCATCGCGGAGTGTTGTTTTGGTTTTCATGTCCCGCGCTTTCTTGAGCTACCCTCAGGAATGGCCAGCATGCGCACGGTTATGGTCAACTTCTGGCGTTAGCTTCCCTCGCGCAGGGCCAAACTCGCGTCCCTCTGTACTACGTTCATTCCGGGGAACTCCATTGCAGCTACGGTACCCTAATGAGAATGGTGCTCACAGTTTCCCGCACAGAACAGCACGCCGCCGTGTATCCGAGGGACTTTGCTGCCATAGTCGCTCCAAAACATTACCCACGCGTGGGTTCAGTTGGATTCCGATCATTGTGATATTTTCGTATACAACTCGAACCACCCCGGTAGATACAGACAGCAGGCGAAAATTCAGGCACTCACGGTCGCCCCGGAGGTCTAGTGGTAGCCTCGAAACCACTGCGACAATGGGGAAGGCGTGAGTTCCCCACGGGGTGAAAAACTACAACTTTTGCAGGTGAACGCGGAAAAACAAAGCTGAAAAGCTCTCGTGAGTACCAAACTTCGACGTTAGCACCGTCGACGAGGGAAAGGGACGGCTGGACTCTTCTCGCGATAAAAAACAATATTCAGCACGCACGCACCGCAGGAGGAAGGTGGGGCACGAAAACAAAAGAAAGAGAAGAAAAAAGGCCCTGTGTTTACCTCCTCCTTGTTGACCCTGGATGGTTGTAGCTGTACGAAAAAAATACTTAATCGCACTGAAAGGTGTACTACTCCACAAACACTGAAAACTGTAGTACTTGTCTCACCACGAAACATGGGAGGACGAAAACACACGCAACTCACAATTTGCTCCTCTGCCAGCATCTTGTAGAAAATGTTGTTTTTATCCATGGTTTCGAATATTACTCGGAGCTCCTGTCGCTCAAAGTCCACCGCGAGACACTCGGACCCAGGTTCATCTTCAGCCGTTGTGTCTATGAAGTCGTCCGGCGGAACTCCCCCCATCTTCGCCATAGCAGAGGAGCTGCTGGCATGCCAGCCCCGAGAACTCAACCTCTGCCGGGTTTGCGGGAGGTGCAGCACAAGTTGCGGAGCACGTGCTTACATACACCACGCGTTGCGGCCTGTCCGCCGATGAAGTCGTTTGATTTTAAATTTCGAAGGCTTTTCTCGGGAGCGGCGAATCGGCTACTTCCCTTCCGGCCATACTACCTATCCCGTTGTCCCAAATGGGTCTATGCTTCGATCACCACTGCGCCATACAGAGGCCACGTGTTGAATACGAGCATGAAGGAGAATAGAGGGCGCCTGAAACGTGGTCGCAGTCTAAAACCCGCCAACAGCAGTGTCCGCGCATTTTTTCCTGTCTTGAGAACGTTGCGTAGGCGGGGGCAACTCGGCAATTCGATGTAGACAACGTCCCGCGCTGTTGCCACGAGAGGAACTTGACGCGCACGTTTGGACCAGGAACAGAGTTCGCCACCCAGTGCTTGGCGACACGCTATGTGGATGATACGAAATAATTAGATGCGAGGCTTCGGGGTGCCTTGTTTGGATCGCCATCACGAGCATCACAGTCGACACGAACGCCAAACAGCAGCAGCTTCACATCGACCTCCGGGAAGCCACGGAGTGAGTGGGAACCAGCAAGCAAAACACAACGAATAATTTCGCCAAAACCAGGCTGATGTCGACTCATTCGGCGGGTTCATTTCTCCATGACGCAACATAACACCAGCTCGATGTAGTCGACCACGTTGGCAATGTACACGCGCGCGATGAACACATATGGAACGATTGTCAATTGATCGAACCCCCACGAAGGACACCCCGCGGCGAAAATTTGCCGGTACTGGCGAGATTCTTGCACGCTCCAGTAGCTCGGTAAAGCGACCTCGGCCTACCCACTGCATAACAACGTATTTTGGGGTGTTGGGTTAGGGTTAGGGTTAGGGGTGGGTTAGGCCTAGTGAGGCCTAGCGCCTTGGTGCTGCCTGAGGGCTGGAAACCCGCTGTGGCTTTGGTTTCATGTCTACCTCCAATCACAACCCAAACATTGTTGAACTGGCGATTGCAAGAATCTCGCCAGGGCTGGCGTATATACGCCTTTCGCGAAGGACACTTGGATTTTGTAGCCCGCAGGTAAGTAGGCGATTTCCTCGGGGTGTAAGAGGTGCTGCGGATGGGCGACGCCAGCTTCGAATTACGAAATCACATCACTTGTGCGCCCAAATCACTTGACAGGAGAGTAGTCATAATGTCGAAGCAAATGCAATCACAGGTTTACAGCACAATCATTTTGCTGCTGTGGTTGCGCATGTACTGCTGTAGTCCAATGACGAATAGAGCCAGCAAAGGCAGAGGACCCGCGGGCAAAAAGAAAAGGGGGGGATGACGTCGACAGTGGACACACACCTCCTGGACTCCTGGACCGGTTTTCAATGCTCGATTACGCCACGATGAAGACGGCGCCACAACCAGCTCTGTGAAAGAAGCCACCTTAAGGCACCATCACCGTTGTCACTGGTGTGACGAGTGCATAAACTACAGCTGCACGTAAATACTTGCAAGTACAAAATTGCTGACTTCGAAAATTGGTCTAGGGGGTGTGATATGCAACCTAGGGTACTCATAACAGGAATGGTGCACACTTGAAGGGCTACCTGACTTAGGTGCTGCAAGTGCTCATGATGACGTGCCCACTTGATGTTGGGTGGACTCGCCGTCGGGAGAAACCCTGCAATTCGTCCCAGGTTTGCAGTCAGAATCCCCCAACAGCGCAGGGCAAGCCAGGGCGATGGGGCAACTCTTGTGGCCATTTGAGCCGGGAGAGCAGTAACACTTGACTTGGCAGAACTTCAACGGGGGCGCGTGTATATACGGTACTTGCGTGTGAAGTGCGTACCGCCTTCTATCTGCGTCGAACACCACCCATTGCACCTTTTAGTACCATCCAACCTCCAACCAACCTCCACCTCCGGTATCTCGGAATCGGATCAGTCGGCTTCGAACCGAACGCAGTCGGGCCGCGTTTTCACAGTGCCGGCGTGTGCCCCTCGTTGACACAAAAATCCATCGTGTGCCTTCCGATGTCATTGTGGACACGCGTGCCTCGTTGCCCCACTCACCACCGGCGCGTACTTTGCCACCCCACGCGAACGCTTGTATCACACATCACTCATCGTCCCGGCACTCCTCCCCGCGAAGAACTCACAGCAGCAGCAACGGCCCACTGCCTAATGGCTCCTTCGTCTCGTCAAACTCTCGCCGGCGCAAGCCTCGTGGCTCTTGGCGCCGGCGCTCTGCTCTGCGCCCGCGCTTACGGCAGTGGCAGCACCACCGCCGGCAGAAGGTCTAGGGGCTCGTCGTCGGCAGCAGGCGCGGAAGGTAGCGTGTCATCCTCTCCTGGAAGAAAGACAGCAGAAGTGAAGGAAACGTCGGAGAAGACGCAGCCGGCAGGCGACGGGCCAACTGCTCCCAAACAGCCCTGCGGGGGGTGTGACTGCGGCTTGATGGAGCCAGGACCGATCGAGGGCACGATGCACGCGTACGAGAGGCACATCATCATCTGCAGGTGAGATCGGTATTGGTCCGGGGCTGCTGTTCTAGTTGGTGCTTCCTCTTCCAACTTAGCACCAGCTTGAGTGCTGTACGTGACACCATGACGATGTGCTTCGAATGTCGTTCCTGCCCGTATTGCTTGGCACGTACGGAACGCAAACGTGTACAGCCACGGCGGCCAAACGCGTGGTACCGCATGTTGTGGAGGTAATGGATAACCACGAAGATAGCATGGCGTTGGCGCGCCTGATCTCTCACAAAGAGGGTAGAGCATTCACCAAAGGATACGTCTAGGCGTAGCTCCACCTTCGCCGCCTGTCCGTCTTCGCTGACGGTCGAGTTACCCATGTGGTCCTCGGGCAATTGTAGATCTCCCATACGCACCCCGTCCTGCTAAGGTCGCGGAAGAAATATCTGCGTGCGGTACAGTTACGATTCTTCTGCGCCGTGCCCGTTGCTCCACCCCAACGGTTCGTCGCCTTTCACCCGCACTTTGGGGGACTGCGGTGGTATGGTTGGCTCGCGGTCTCGGCAGCCAAAATCCAACATGGGCCCAACCGGCGTCTTGTCCTCGGATCCTCGGAGTGTTTCTCGATATCGACTCTGTGTCTGTAGGTACTGCTGTAGAGTGCACAAACGACGGATTTTGTGTGATACGGTGGCCTCCGCCAGACATATGTGCTGCAATTAGACACATGATACGTTTTTTTTTCGAAAAGTACAAGGCATATACGTCGCACGATTTAGCCGCTGCTATTAATAGTAATGCAACACGCATTTTATTATTTTATTCGTTCGCCCAAAATAGACGATTCGTGCATCTCCATTCGCCACGTGACACGTGCTGTACAAGTGGGATCATTTTATTCGCGTTTCTTTTTCGTCGTCTATGGCGATAGTTAGAACGAGCGACATGTCGGAGATTTGCCCTTCCCCAAAATCCTTGAACTCGATTGCGATAAAACGTGGGGCCCGAGTCACGCGGGTATTACGATATTCATCGGCTTAGCAAAGGGCAGACGCACGAGATCATATTTATTGCGAAACTTAAACATGTACTTTTATCTGCTTGTGGCCCCTGGGCTGCAGTGTGTTTTTTACGCAAATCGACTCCACTTACGTCGGAGCCCCCTAACGCAGAAGGAAAATATGCCGTGGACAAAACTCGACTGCTGTGGACGCCCCTGATATTGATGCAATCACGCGGAAAACAAGCGGAGTGCCCGTAAACCCGCCAATACCCGCGATTGACCACTTGTTGTAATCTTGACGCATCCCGCCGACGATCCCGCCCCCTGCCCCCGCTCGCTTCCTCTCAGTGGACACCAGAATTGGCCGAAGGTGGTCGAGGCCGAAGAGTCGTCGTTGGCCGAGTCGCTCTTCAACATGTGCCTAGGCGCAGGCCTGATCTTCACCAAGAAGGTCGCCTTGGCGGCGAAGAAGGCGGGGGCGCCGAAGACCCGCCAGGTCAAGATCTCGGCTTGCTCGGAGCCGTCGCGCGGCCGTGAGGGCACCACTGACGTCATCGTTTACCCGGAGGTGAATCAGGCCACCCAGTTTTGAGTTTCTGGGGTAGTAGTAGTTGTTGTTCTTGCGCCTGTGCCGCTTTTGCTTTCCTGCTGCTGGTGCAGACTAGAGGTCAACTTGCGGTTGTAGCTCTCCGCGAACGGCGCTGCTGCAGGTGGAGGCGGGTCCTACCCACCCCGCCCGTACTGACTGTGCTCTCTCTCCCTCAATATTTGTGGAACAAGAATAAACCCACACATCCAAGTACCGACCCCCCCCTCCCCCCCTCCCCGCCTCGCTCCCACCCCTTCGCCGCTTGTATCGATCGGCCGGGTTGCGTGATCCAGGGGCTAATCTATTCCCTCTCCCGAGACGACACGAGCTCCTTAGAGGAGTTCCTCAACGTCCAGCTCATCAACGGGGAAGTGGCGACGCAGCTCAAGCCCGTCCCCGTGTCGTATGAGAAGATGGTGCTGGTGTGCACCCACATGTCTCGGGACAAGCGGTGCGGGCGCGCAGGCCCCCAGGTGCGTCAGCTCTTTTCTGTGCTGCGATGTCGGTGGGTGTACTCACACTCATTGCCGTCCATGTTCCTTGGACAATTAACGTCGCATCCCTACAAAGCCGGGACGGAGCACGCCGGGTTTTCACCGGACCAGACAACCCGTACCCACCATTTTGATTTTGGGAAAATAATGAAACTAGTTCAAATCGTCGTCGGCCACGGGTGTGAGTTGATGCGCGTAACGTGTTTGTGCCCATGGGGGCTTCATGTGCTGTACGTTGTGCGCTCATTCTTAGTGGGAAATGGAAACGTCAATATGTTCATATTTCTGGAGAGCCATGCGACTCATTTTTTCTTTCCATGTTCAACTTGAACCCTATTGAGTTGTACGTGCATGCCTATTTGTTTTGTCGTCTTCACTTGTTGTAAGACATGACATCTGCCCGGGAACACCCCTTTCTATCGGGCAGATTTGGAATCAACAAGCAGAGAGTTCGTGTACCTGGCAGGTCGTTTGCTCACCATGAGAACTAAACTTGTGGCGTGTCGACATGACCGTGTGCGCACACGTGCTACAGCCCCACGGAAAGGGGCTTAGCAATCCCGCCTCACCCTCTCGTCCCAGCGCCGCCGTAACCGCCCCCCCGCCCTTCCTCCCTTTCTCGAACCGCTGCTCTGACACGGAAACAGGTGATCGGTGAGATGGAGAAAGCGCTACAAGCAAGGGGGATCGGCCCCGACGAGATCGCCGTGCGAGGAAGCTCCCACTTCGGAGGGCACAAGTACGCGGGAGTGCTGATCATCTACCCCCAGGGAGACTGGTGAGTCGGTCTGTCGAGCCGATTGATCAATGTGGTGCCGTATCGTCGACTACGTCGATCGATGTATGTTTTTTTGGCTATGAACGAGTGGGCTTGGGAGCCTGGGTGCATTCAAGGCGGAACCACGTCAACCCTTGCATAGACTTTGGCGTCCTCAACAGGCCGTTGTTGAGGCGTTGGAGTCGAGCAAAAAGAGGGTGCCGAGACAAGCTCGGCATTGAAACGCAGCCCTTTTGAGCTAGTAGATTTCGACCAACACCTCGCATGAGGCATCCGGGAAAGGTGTTGGTGTGCGAAAGTGTTGAAAGGCGCTCGGTCGGGCATGAACAGCAGAATGCGATTGCCGCAGCAGCGAGACACATGTTCCGGGTGCGCGTCGGTTTCCGCTCGGTGCTGAAAATGGAAACGTATCCGCATGTTCCTTGTTATGCTTCTTGCTTGATTTGTGCAGGTTCGGGTTGGTATCCAAGAAAAACGCCCCGACAATTGTCGACAAGTGCGTCCTAGGCACCGAGGGCATGAAGGCCAACTGGAGGGGAAACATGGCCAACCCGGGCACGAAGAAGGAACCGGCCACCAAGCCGGAGCCGGCCACCGCCGCCGCCGCCGCTGCCGGACCCACGCCCGCGCAAGAACCGAAGTCGTCGGAGTCGGCGGCCATTAACGGGGGCGGGCCGACGGCGAAACCCCGGCGCGAAAGCATTGATGGCGCGTAATATCACGCCTGTGTTTGGTCACGGAAAGTTGTTTTCGGTGGTTGAAATCGGGTCTAAATGCTTACCGGGAAAAAAATATTTGGAAATACACGGCCCCAGCGTGCGCTCTTGTGCCCCCCTCTTTCCGTTCTTGTACTGCGTTTTCAGGATACGTTTATTAGAGGAGGGGTCGGTGTACACTGTTTTGATGGCTCGAGGTTTCGCCTCGCGAAGCAGTCAACAAGTTGGTGTGAGGCTTAGCGTTAGGACTTGGTTCGTTTTTTTCTGCTGGGGCGCATGAGCGCGATTGTTGTAGCTCGTGTGCTGTGGGTGTTGTGTGTGCATGGGTCACTCATGGGCGGCACCGTAGGAGGGTTGGGTGGACCTGTGACGATACCGCTTGAGGTACTCTCGCTCAAGGACCACTGCTGTGAGGCTAGAAATGTTTATTCTGGTGTGTTGGCTGAGTGTGCGGCAGCGTGGAGACGCGTACGTGTGGGTGATTTCCGCTGTTCCTGCCTGGCGGATTTTGTAGAAAATTCGATGCAGGGGGCCACGGATGGAGCAAATAGACCCTGAACGGGCTGTTGCGTTTGATAGGTTGACGTCTTTTGGGGTGAACCTTCACGGGTAAGTGTCGTAATTGCCTCGACTGTGATTGGTTTGTGTGCATGTTGGCCTACATCGTTCTGTTTTCTTTTTAGTGTTGTAGACTGTCACGCGTTAGTGTAACTCGATTTTGTAATGTCTTTCGCCCACTTTGGATCCTTTTTAATCGCGAACAAGGGCCGTTGATCGCAAAACTGTTGCGAAAGTATCGAACGCGCACGTTTCATGTAACGGTTCAACGGACCCTTTTTTCATGTAATTGTTGCTTGTGTCAGTGAAGTTGTTTTTGTCCGTGTTAGCGTTTCGACACTCGGCTGTTGAGGGCGACGGAGTGTGTAAGGGTAGACACTGCACGGGTGGCGACTTTCGGGCTTGAGTCCTTGGAGTCGGTCTAGTAGTGCAGTACTTTGCCGGCGGGGTTGGCGTTGCCTGCACGTGTGGGAAATCTACTAGCTGTCCTGTTGCTCGAAAGATTTGGTGGGGGATCGGCGTAGCAACCGATGTAGGGTTATTTGTTCTTTACTCACGAAGGGTCGGGGCGTCCATGATGCTTCATCGTTTAGAGCCGTTGTTGTTCGTAACGTCGTGTGGTTTGCTATTGTGAAGTGTTGTGGCTCTGGCTCTGCTCCAGTGTGTTTTTGGTGTGCTTGTCCGGTGTGTCTAGCGAACAAATGATGTCAAACTGAGATAATGGCAGCCGATGATCGTTCGTCTTTGTTATCATCCAGCCATCGTCGAGGTCGATGTGCACGCACGCATGTGTTTAACCCAGGGGCCACCGGCGTAGGCATGTTGTCTTTTTCGGGCTTAAGCTTGCCTCTGTCGCGTGGTGTTCGGTGCGGTTGGGGCACGTGGTGTGGCAAACACTGGAACTCTTGCGGCCGAGAGGAGCCGGGAACATCCAACAGGTTGCCATGTAAAAATACGGGTTCTGCGTTCTATAAACAGTTTACAATCGCGACAAAGTCAGCATGTTTGTGTCTTTTGGCTTCGGCCGCTTCATTTTGCAGTGCTATTTCGACGCGGTTCGCTCGCTCAGTTTCTACGGACATTTTTGCCCACGCCGTTCTCAACACCCAGCAACATTTTGTCTCAAAACGCCGGGAGGAAGAGTCCCGCACTGTGTATGGCATCAAGTTGACCAACCCCGACGCCCTAAAAAACTGGAGTGGATTCCGGTGGCAGTCGTAGCTGGCACGTAGCTGAAAGACCGCGACCGAGTAGAGTAGGTTTAACTATTTGTCACGGGAAGGTGTACCTCTTGTCGAAGCCCACGGCTCTCCAAGGATCCCAGAAAGGCTTACCTGCATGTGAGGTCAGGATCGCAACACGGACATGGGGCTTTTTGTCTGTGCCTGGAATCGTGTGATACCGTACTTCGCATACCGCCGCGCGGTCTGGACGAAGAAAGCAAGAAAGTCCACCTCTCGGTAAAAAAACCAATTCGCAAACTCTCGCTGCGCGGAAAATCGCGGTCACGATCGTGTAGTGTACCCAGCTCTTTCGCCACGTAGCTTGAACGACACCAAGAGGACAACAAACGTATTGATCAACATGTATGCCGATGGTCGCCCTCACGCCATCCAGCATCTCGTAGTATCTGATGCTGTATTTTTTTTCGTGTTAATGTGGTCAGTCGTTCGTGCTGCCGCATCTCGTTGCTCGTTGAGCAAACGATTTTAATTTATAGTTGGAAGTCGCCGTACCCCCCAGCGAACGCACGAACACACCTATAACGTCAACCCTCTCTCACCGCTACTGTAGCCCTCTGAACAGAAAAGCCTGAGAGGCTAGCCGTCACCAAGCCCTCTGCTTGTTGTAACGTTTCGTGATTTTCACCACGAGATCGTCCCGTAAGTGTTGATGTGCCAAGACGCTCATTCGGAGAGCTACCTTCGGGATCGTTCGCCAAAGAGTAGAGCCAGTGGGCGACGCTGAACTCGCGTACATGTACACAGGGACATACACACAGCGCCTCCTCCTGATTAACATTGATACCTTTTATCCCCACATACTATCAAAGGCACACAAACTGCAAGCGCCGGAGAGGCACACGAGAGTTGCGACGTCGAAATCCTGTTACCCCGAGCTCGGGTTTGGAGTAGAAACCACATCACTGGATGCCGCACAGCACGTGCTGTTCCTGAGAGACATGAATGCTCAGAGCTATCGCACATGGACATGCAGAAGGAAATCGGCGGCGAACAACGAGGCCACCGGGTCAACACACGAAAGCACAACATCCAACAAAAATATACATGCCATGTTATACATAAAATATTAACACCCGAACCGCGCTCTTCGCCGTGCTTGTAATCGCATCGAAAAAATCTCACCAACACCCCAAAGGTCGGTCCCGGTAGTAGTGCAGTTGGCATCCTCGAAAACGTTCTAGAGGCCAGGGTCAGGCGTTCGATTCCCGGCGCAAGCGAGCTTTTCTTGCAAAGTGAGTTTTTCTCTCGCTTTTATTCCTGCCCTGGGTGGCAAGCGCTAGTTCGTGTGTACACATAGGGAAGAGAGTCCTGCACTCTTCTCGCATTAAGAATCGAGGGGAAAGCACTGCAGGAGGGGTGAAAAGGAGGGCTCAGCGAGAGCAACCCTTTTTGTGTGTCCACGGGTTGGAGTAAACTGCGCAAATGCTGCGAGCGCAGATTTGAGGTGAGGAAAAAAGCAAAAAAAAACAGCCAGAGAACTTCGCCGATAAACGAAGCACTGTACCCTGCACACATGCCCCCATCACAACGGTGGCCATCCATCTCCTGAGCGCCGTGCGACCTCAGGCTACGAAAATCAATAAGCGGGTCGGCGATGGGCAAGGCTCCTATACATACCAAAAGAGGTTCCAAACCCCCGAGACTCGCACGCCAGGCCAAGACGGCAGGTCTTCGCCGGGAGGCCAAGCGATCGTCAGCTGCTCCAGAGAAGCCGGCCACTCGAAGCTCTCGTCCGGCAAGCGAAAGTCCCTGCTGAAGGTGAGCTGCCGAAGCGATGCTGGCCACGAGACGTCGCCAATCGCTTGGTCGAAGCACTGCCCGAAGACAATTTTCATGAGCGAGGGAGGCCACGTCACCTTGTCGATTGGATGGTTGAACTTGTCGCCGAGATTCAGCTCGGACAGCGATGCAGGCCACGTCACCTTGTCGATGGGCTGATCGAAGTCCCGCCCAACACACAACTCCCGCACCGAAGCAGGCCAGCGGATCCGGTGTATCGGTCGATTGAAGCCGGACCCGATTGTAAGCAGCCTCAGCGACTCCGGCCACGTGACCTCGTCCAACGACTCGTTCCGAAGGTGGCCGAACAGCAAAACCTGTAGCGATGCCGGCCAGGAAATCCTGCCCAGGGGCTGGGCGAGTACTCCCCAAACGTACAGCTGCAGCAGCGACCTCGGCCACACCAAGCCCTCCACCGGATGCGTGAAGTCCCCCTGGAACAGCAAAACTTGGAGCGACTCCGGGAACGCTCCCGGGTGTATGGGCTGGCTAAAGGACGGACCCAGAACAAGGACGCGGAGAAGAGGCGGCCAAGCGAAATTGTCCATCGGCATGTTGAAGCTCGCTCCGAAGACCAGAAACCGCACGGACGCCGGCAGCGACAGATGCTCCACGGAACGGTTGAAGCCCGGGCCTACGCCGAACAGGGTCAACTTCTCGGGCCATTGAATACCTCGGGGCAGGTCGTCGTCGAAGCCGGGACCCAGAGAAAAGGTCGTTACTTCCGACCATGCGTCACCCGTCATGTTCCGCAGAGCCACGCCCGGCAGCTTCCAGGTCACCGTGCGCGCTCGGACCACCGGTACGCGCGTAACGTTGCGCCTCTTCACGCTTCGCGTCTCGCGGGTGGTGGCGGTGCCGCGCCACAAGCGGGGCGGCGTCCCGTGCTGCACGTTCAGCTTCAGCAGGTGCATGCTGCGGCAAGCCGCGCAGAGCTCCAACGACGTGAGCTGGAGTTGCATCGTCGACGTGTACCACTCCCCGCCGCTTGCCTGGTTCAGGGCGATGATGAGCGCGTCTAGGCACCGGCTGGGACCTGCGCGAGCCAGAAAACACGCACGCAGCAAAAAGTCTTCTGTCGGTTGAGTCGTTCTTCGCGGGCAGTCCAGAATTCAAGCAGCCCCAGCTCGCCTTCAAATCTGGGTGGTATACAAAGGTTTCGGGCGCTGCTGGCGCCACAAGTGGACAAAGCGATCTTTCAGGATGCATGACAAAGGTGCCGGCACCATTCGTGTGCGTACATCGACGCGCGGGATGCAATACAACCTTGTTCGGCAAAACAACGAATGGGTGCTAGGTTGAAAACGCCGGCATGTCAGTCGCCGAGCGGGAGCAAACGGAGGGCCCTTGCATAGCGCTAAGTAATGACATGTGGTCGCTGCTTCTTGAGCAAACATTCGAACATACAGTGGTGGAGTGGGCTCATGTCCTCAGGGGGTAATGCAAGATGAGACAATGAAGGCTTGTAGCAGGGCCAGCCCATAGCTGACTGCCAGCTGCCAGTTGTGGCATTTCCCAAGCTCACGCAGCTGACGATGTGTTTTGACTGGAAGAGCCCAACGAACTCAGTGCAGGATCTGTACTTGTATTCAGTCTTGTAATTCAACTCACATGGTCTTGAGCAAGGTGGCCTGCGAGTTTGTGAATGTTTGTTATGCATTGCTGTATGCTATGTACTGCTACGGTGTGACGACCAAATGTCGATGGATCGTCAGAGTCAGATGTGAGACTGCAGTCGTCCCTTGGTTACGACAAAACATTGTCTCGAAAGACAGCATACATAAAAGAGGAGTAACCAGAAACGGGTAAACCCGGATAGATAATCACCATTTCAGGGTACACTTGGAAATAAAGACGACACCGATTTCCGACAGCATCCGCCGTAGATCGCGGCGAAACCAATAAACCGCTGTCTGTGTCCTGTGCGTCCTGTGTCTCGGAAGCATGATGCACGAGGCAGGTCGTGCCCGTTTTTTTCTCTCTCTGTGCCTCTCTCTCTGTGCTTTTACTGATCAGTACCACACCGAAGTACTCGCGCGTCAAGCGAGTCCGACCCTCTTTTGAGAAGGGCCGGTGTCCTATGGAGGCGGTGCCCATGAACGGTGAACGAGCGAGCGTTGTTGGTGGTTTGGTTGGGGTTATGTATGTGTGGTACACGGTATGTGTGGCACACGTTTTTTTCTGCGGGTTTTATGCTAGAGCGTCGAGCGCCGGGATTATATGACCATTTCTGGGTGCAAAGTTGACCTCTTCCGGGTACACCAGTAACCAGTATCGGTCACACCAGAGGGTCCTAATTCCAGCGGAAGTTATACCTGATGGAGGTTTCTTCAGAAATGGGAACAATGGTTTTTCGGCCAATCAGCTGACAGCCTGGGGGGGCAAGCGTGTTGATTTCTAACTGTAGCCTAAAGTGGTGATAAAGTACCCGGGTATACCCGTTTCTGGTTATTGGTCTACATAAAAACCTGATGATCTTAGGGGGGGCGCCGTCGAATGCTCCTTGCAGTTCTCTTCTTTCGTTTGGTGTCGCTTTGTAAAACATCCCATCTCTAAATTTGCTTATGTACACGTTTCTGTCTTTCCGGCTGGAAATCCCGCACTAGGGATTCGTGGGGAGGGGATTCGGGTAGCAGCTTAGATGTTTAGACTCTTCCCTGCTTCATGTTATGCATACAACACAAGGGGTCAATATGTCAGTTTTTGAATTACAGAATAACTACTCGCGTCGTACAACGCCTCACAACAGACCGCAGTGACATGGCTGCCACAAACTCACCAGTTTCGACATTCGTGTGCCGCCCGCTCCTTGTACTAACCATGATACAGAAAAGCTTGAGATGGCTCCCTGGCAATCTAGCCGTTGTTGTGTGCGCTGCTGTGCAGTGCTGCATAAAGTTGGCGGGTGTTGGGTCCGCTCGCTGCACCGGTGCAGCTTTTAGCTGTGGATGAAACATTATATAGGGGGTAATGTTTCGAATCTGCGTACCCCCTCCCTCTTTGGGGCGACAGTTTGGGGCGGCGGGGCTGTCAGCTTTGTCCACAAATCTGCTGTCACCAGCCTGCTGATCTGTGTGTCTCCCGCTGCTGCTTGACCCGTGATTACGTCATCACGCAACTTTCCTAGAGCTGTCTAGATTGTCCTCGGTGGTACAGCAGCAGTCATGGGCACGGGGGCGAGCAAGGTCGCGTTCAGGGATGTTCTTGCGCAGCTGAAGAACGAGGATATCGCCACGAACGACGCCGCATTCTGGTCCAACCTGTGGAAGACGGAGACGAATCCCCATGTAAGCGGGGAGTGGCAGACAGGGTGCTATCAGCTGACCCTACCAATGGTATGAAGGAAGAGCGATGTGAGGCGAGAAGTATTTTCCCGGTACTATAGAAGCATCACTGCTCTACTCCTGTATTTGTCACGCCCGGTTTTTGCGGCCTAAGGGTGAGTGTCAATTGCTCCACACGGTCGGTGTTCGTGCAGAGAGCAAAGGGCACGGGTGGTGGGTATGGGCGAGCCGTGAAAATGGGTGCACTTTAACTGCTGCTGCCACGAGGGCAGGCCGAGGAACAGCACCTGGCTGTCGTTGGAGTCGGTTGAACCAAATATGCCTTAAACAATTTGTTGCTGTGCTGCAGACCATGGAGGCACAGCGGTGGGTCCCAAAGTGTGAGCAAGCTCTCTGTCTTTCCGACCCTGTTTCCAACAGGGGAGATATCGCTCTATGCTCCTCAGGAAATCGTAGAAATACAGGTAGCTTCCGCTGACGCCGTGAATTCATCGCTGTTCTATCGTAGACTCTTTTCTGTGGATAGAGAAGGATCGTTGTGTTGTGGTATTATTAAGATCAACACGAGTGCTGTGTCTGCGGTCTTCCGCACGAAGCCTGTACCTTCGCGATTTTGAATCTCAAAACTCCTCTTCAGAGTAGTCGTGTGCATGGCAAGAACACTCGTACAAGAGCTGGGTTTTTATTCGTTCAAATGACCAAGCGCGCAGCTCGATCTGGGTGCATGCGGTGGGTCTGATGTGTTACGAAAACGAGCGAGCCTCTCCTCGTCCTCGGTCCAAATTTCCCAACACTCTGCGTATGCCTATCTACCTGACTTGGTATATTGTTATTTGTCTGCAGGGTTATGTAGTCAAACGACGTGCGTTATTACTACGGCAGTAGTCCGCAGAGTTAATGAGAAGAACCTCCTTTGGAGCTGCCTCCTAATCTCGCGTGTGGTGTGAGTTAGACCAAAGGGTTGAAGGACCATGCACAAAACGACGACGGGAGGCAGGCCGCACGATGGGCACGGCTTTTCTGGCACGGCCCTCACCCACGAGCACCCCATTCCCTGATAATTCCGTAAATAATTGCTTGTTGTGCAGGATGTTTTCGAAGTGATCTCCCCCACTGCCGTGAGAAAGCTGAAGGTCGCGCGTCCGGGAAACGTCGAGGCCCTCCTGAGGATGGCTGTCTTGCACCTGGAGAAGGTGATGACGTCATATATTGGGGGGGGGGCAAAATCGTGTTCCAAGTTTACAACAGCGGCATGTTTTGTTGTATGAACACCGGCATGTTTTGTGTAGTTGCAGTTTCAGGCGAGCGGAGTTAATGTCGGGCCTCGTCACAACACTGCTGTAGTCCCCAGTTTCATTGGCTGGTAGTTTTGTCGGCATACATCCTTCACCCATGCGCGTCTGTGAGGCGAAACCTTAATTGCGCATGCAAACCCTTTTGGAATGGGTTTTGAATTGGACATGTTATTTGGATTAATGTTCACAGTCCCTCGCGAAAGAAGGAGATATCCAGCGGACTCCAAGTCCTATCGTACCCCTGTAAGTGTGCTCCCGACAGTCGAGGGGGATATTCGATGTGGGGTTATCGAATTAGGAACATCCGAAGCGTGGTACATGCTGTGCTGGCAATACCTACATACCTGCAGCACCGCCGTGCACCGCTTGTCTCACGCGGGGCTTAAGCCGAGACATCGCAGCATTGCCTCACCACAAGCCTTCCGTCCCCCTTTGGCCCTTGCCGGAGCAATCCCTCTTCACTCGAAAACGAGAACAAGACCAACGAATTCCTTTCCTCTTTGTTTTTCCTTCCAGGTGCTGGACGACCCCGATCCCTTCGTGCTCAAGAGCGCGATGACCGCTGTGAGCGTGCTGACCAGGGTGTTACCCTTCATTCTGGAGGAGTACACCGACCCGGAAACGGGTGAGGTCGATCCTGCTCTGCATTCGATGTTCTGGTCGACGGAAGAGGAGCCGCCGTCGACCACGGCGACGGCGACTGGGGATGGGGCGGGGGCGGGGGCGGGAGAACAGCAGCAGCAGCCAGATGCACGGGTTGCGCTTGGGTCGGCGATGGTGTCGGCCACCATGCGGCTGCTGTTCACGCGGCAGCTCACGGTGGACGTGTACTCTTCGTGCGAATCAGTCGACGCAGGTGTGGTCATGCTGCCGGTGTTGTTGGTCGTCTTCTCACGCCTGTTCCGCACCGAATTGTTCTGAAAAGTTTCCCTGTATTTTTGTAAGGCCTATGTCTGTCATTGGGGGTCGAATTGTCGGTGGAACTTGCGATCGATCCACCCCCATTGCGCGGTCAAGTGTGAAGGACCGTGTACCTGTCCTCCGCAGCCGGGATAAACGCAGCGGCGGAAATGGGTCCAAACCAATAAGTACTACCGAGTACACCCTTTTGGAGATGGGTTTACTTGGCTGAACCGATCCGAAAGGAGAGCGGTCATCCGTTGGACGTCACATTGGTTTTTGTAAGTAGCCGGTCATCGTTATTCCCCGTGCCTTGAGTGCATGGTGTCCAGTTGCGGTGCCATTGGGGTGGTGTAAGGCAACCGATACATGAGTGCCCCCCCCCCCCCCGCCTCTGTTT